TAATGAAGTTGTATATCTCTCTTAATGATGGATAAGAATTAGGAGGTTCTGTTTAAAAACAAGTTGTTAAGGTCTAGAGCAATTGCTCCTAGATTTGATACATAAACTGGAAGAGAAGGTAAAAATGGGTAGAAAACAGGACCATTCCAGTTGTTTGTCCATTAAATTTTCCACTAGTCCTTCACTGTTTTATGTATCAAATGTGAACATATCTATTACCTGATATAAATGGCTAACACAATATTCTGTTTTACTGATTGCTGATCTTGTCCTAAGTTTGAAAACCAGTACATAGCATCAGGGCCAGAATCATTGTGGAAGATGCTGGCTGTTGAATGAATTCCCCAGTGGTAGGATGGTTAGGATTAAACTAAATGTCACAATAACCAGAGCATAATTATTCTAGCGAGCCTTATTAAGCAATAACATACTTACTAAACAGATCTTATTGGGATCCCTCATCTAATTTTGATGTGTATTGGTGTTTTATTTTGTCTGTGAGATGTAATTATTGTCTGTACACCCTGCTTGCCTTATGTGTGTGTGACCTGTGGCAGAGAGCAGATGTCACTGCACCCTTTCAGACATAATTATGGTGTAGCTGTAGGTAGGTCTTGCAGGCAGGAAAAGCAGATGAGTGTGCAGTGCATCAAATAAACTACAATTGCTGTGTTATTGCATGTTTTGAAAGGGATTAGAGAAGCTGTGTGGGATGATAGTACAGTACTCCTTCTGGCTGATAAAGGATGGCAAACAGAACAATGTGTAGTTTTTCTTTAATAGATTGTCTTGATTTATTAATCCCTTTCATGTCTTTACTTGTAGTGTTATAGATGTTCTGTAAGAAACAGTGGGATGTCTTTGTTCTCAGTTTTCTGTAAACAAAGACACCCCACTGTCTGCTACAATTTTTGTGCAAGCCAAGCAAGTTTTGTTTGACTTCTCACTTTTGGAAATGGTGATTTGGTTGACCTTCTCTTTGGTTTGGTTGACTAATGGATTTATTTGTGCTGTTGCATGTCCCTTGGTACTTTGCATATCTTGGTGGTATTTATTAGGGAAAAGCTTTTTTTCGGCATCCTGTTGGACAAGGCTTTGCTTTCATTTAGATGCTCCTACACGGAGTAATTCAGGTCAGAAGGGACCACAGGAGGTTGTCTGGTTGAACCTCCTGCACAGAGCAGGTTCAGCATCAAATTCACGCCAGGCTTTGTTCAGTCAGATCTTGAAAACCTCCACTGATGAGATTGTGCAGTCTCTCGGGGCCGCCTCTTCCCAGGGTTATCCTCACAGTGATGAAACTTTTCCTTGCATCCAGCTTTCAGTCTCCTTGTTTCCATGTACATCCACAGTCTCTTTCTCCCATCTGTGTCCTGCTGTGATGAGTTCAAACACCCATCCAGTATCTGATTAGGTTACAAAAGATAGGAAGCAGATGATCTATCCTTTATCTTCATCTTTTTGTACTTTCTACAGGCAGATCACTGTGAAATTTATTTCATTTTGTTTAGTTTCTGCTTAAATTACCAGTGGCTTCCCATTCTAGATGGGGGATTTGTAAAGCATGTTTCTGAAGTTCGGGCTTTTGATGCCTAAATTCCAGTGGGTATTTAATGTAGTTAATATTATTATTCACATTGTGCTGAGATGTTTCTTTTAATTGACTCAGATTTATTTTGGGAAAAGTGTAAATTTAACATGACCCTTCTAAAAAGAATTAAATTCTAATTACAAAGCAGGCTATTGACTAGGAAGTATTTACATCCTTTTCCTCATTTAACTCCTAAACAGGATATTTAACTAAGCAGTGAATGATTGTGGATAAGTTTACCGCCACGTCCTGAAGAGATCGTCAGGAAGTGAAAAAAATCTATAGTAATGGGTTTTTCATCTGATTTTTAACCTTATTTTTCATGCCTTTTTTTTTTTTTTTCCCCCCCCAATGCCAAGTGCTGGCTCTGTTTTTAGCATGTTTGCTTGCCAGAGAATAATTGCAAATTGTAGTATGTCCAAAGTCAGTGTAATTACTTACGAGTCCTTGCTTACTTTTTTTGGGTTTTTTTTTGGTAATTTGTCATTCTAAATTCACATCTGACATTAGGTGATGACCACTTCTTGCTTCTGGCTTCTGCTGCTTATCTCTCCATCCTGTTAATGTGAGTGGTGGTAAATCTGCAGCTGTTCCATAGACCAGTTCATGAGCAGCACCCAGAAATGTATAAAAAGCTGCAGAAGAGACCCATTCTGTGCAGTAGGGGGAGAGGAGTGGTAGGTTTGATGAGTGAGATTTGGCCAGTCCTCTGCCACAGCTGCCTTGTATTACTCCATCTGGGGGTTTAATGCTATTTTTAATGCAATTTTCTGTCCTAAGAAAGAGGTAGTAAATCCTTGATTGGTATAATGTGTTTCAAGGTCCCACTGATGAGCAAAATACTGTTCTGAAGCAAAACATATTCTTGAATTTTTGCTTTAAAGTGGTGAAAACCATGCTTTTCCTGCCCTGAAATTGCCACATCTCCAAAAACTAAACTGCCTTTGCAGAGAAGTAAATAGGCTCATGATACAATTAGGATGCTTAATCTTTGTGGTAGTTGCTTTTCTCTGCTGATAAAAAGCCACCTACTACCTGAGGTTTGAATTTTGACTATTATTTTTTTAGGAGATGATGGTTTATACGTAATCTGAGGTCTGATTTTGACTCTTGGTGACGTTAGGATAAGAATATTCTGTTGGATCAAGGTGAAGTATCAAGGACGAACGTTTAAATCGTCAGTGGATCTTTTCCTGTAACTGAACTTCAAAAGCATATTTGAAGATTAAATTTTTTTTTTTTTTAAATAGTCAGTTTTTAAGCACATGAAGTTCTGTTAAAAGCCTGTCCTTAGTGTAGGACAGCTCGTAGAGCACACCAGGGTGTGATGCTCCCTTTTCCCATTGAAGATGTGTGTCACAGCTGAGTCCTTACCTCAAGCTGATGGCTTTTGGTGCGAGACGGAGGCAGAAAAGGGTCAAAAATATTTTTCACGTATCCCAAAGGACTCAGCAAAAGCTGGAGCTGCCTAAACCCTGAGGGATCTGCGAACCCCTCTTGCCTCAGCCTGTCCATCAAGGCAGAAGGTGCCTGACCGAGGGCAGAGCTGCAGCCCTGGCCCGGAGGATGGGGCAGGAGGAGCTCCCGCAGGAGGGACATGGCAAGAGCAGTTCCTGCTTACTCTTCTTCCTCTCTGAATGGGGAAAAGAAGATCAGGCATTTCTATTTATTTATTTTCATTTCTCATTATGCAGTGTCAAGCCCCTGGCTCTGGAGGATCAACTCCTCTATTCATAGAGAAAGAACAATGGGATTGCCAAGAAAACCGCCATCGGCTGAATGAAATACCTGGGATTATAACTGCAGCTGTTATGGGACTGCTTTTGGGTTTTATGTGCATTTGGTTTTGTAGTGTGAGCATGTAACTGATTCCGGTAGTTTTAAAATCAATTTAAAAAAAAATTGACTGGAGTAGCATTGCTTAATATAAATCGACTCATTTGTTGCAAGTTCATTTTCTGCCTTGAAAAAATAGAAAAGATAAGGCACTTTCAGAGTATTTTCAAGCAAGAATTATGTATGCAGTGTTTGCACTGAGCAAAATGGCTCTTTTATGAGGTATTGGAAAGTTTTTAAACTTAGGAATGAGATGAGACCCCCTTGAGATGATCATCAAAATCCCTTTAATAGTTAAGATTCGGCCTGAGTGCTTCTCTCTACCTTTGCTCTTCAAGTTTGCCAGCAGTTTTGCACTTTATAGCCCTCATTATTTTTTTGGCTTGGTGGATTTTTATCGAATCATATTTTCATAGACAAATCTTTCTATTTAGCCTTGTCTGATGGCGTTCTCTTGCACATCCTCAAGTGAGATTCATACGGTTACACATGTAAGTTCACGTGCTCCAGAACTGAAAATTACATTGCTGGGTTTTAGTTTGGTTTAATTTCTCTTCCTGAATGACTGGTTTAACTGCCTCTTACAGTGCCACATACTGTAAGTGGAAATTACTTGCTCAGTGTACCCTGAGGGTGATTTGAAGTCCATGCACGTGAGGTGCCTTTTCTGCCGTCGGGCTCCACTCTAGGAGCAGCACCCTGTGGGACCCATCCTGCAGTACCATTCCAAGTCACTCCCTCCATTTCAAACTCCCATCAGGAATATACTGTTATTTTCTCATATTTAACCGCATCGTTTTATCCCTTCAGATGATGATTCAGCTGCTTCCCGGTGCAGTTTATTCCATTAACTAATTGCTCTATTAAGAGTGTTTTCTTCTTATCTAGCTCGACTTCCTTTTCCTATTAGCTCATTGTTCTTTTATGATCATTTTTATATTAATTTGTACAAGTAGAATTAAGTAGTCATATTTCCTGAGGCTTTGGGAGGAATTTTACTGCTACAGAAATGTACCTGGCTTGCCTTTAATTTGAAGTGTTGTGGGGCTCCTTCTTTTTCCCCCCAAGTTTCTCCAAGTGGTTTAGTGATGCAAGTACCCTGAGAGGAGGAATGTCTTGCAGCCTTTAGGAAGCAGTTAACCAATTTTGGGGGCCAGCTGGCAGTTATTTACTTTTTAATATATGGCAGAGTATGGTTTATATTTTATATACGGTTTATATTTTTTTACATGGTATAGGACAAGGGGGAATGGTTTTAAACTAAAAGAGGAGAGATTTAGGTGAGGTGTTAGGAAGAAATTCTCTACTGTGAGGTTGGCGAGGCACTGGCACAGATTGGCCACAGAAATTGTGGCTGCCCCATCCTTGGAAGTGTTGAAGGCCAGACCGGATGGGATTCTGAGCAACCTGGGATAGTGGAGGTTGTCCCTACCCGTGGCAGGGGTTTGGCGTGGGATGAGCTTTAACCCAAACCATTCTGTGATTGTGTGGTTCTCTGATCTGCTCTGGGGCATCAGGACAGATCCGTGGGAGGAGCACTGCATGGCATTTCTCAACACCCCCTCTCTTGCAGGTCACTGGGGCCGGTGCGTCGGGGACTGTGGCTCGGGGGGCCTCCGGAGCCGGGCCGTGTGGTGCACCCACGCCGAGGGCTGGACGACCTACCACGCCAACTGCGACCAGCAGCACAAACCCGAGAGCCAGAGGAGGTGCTTTAAGGTCTGCGACTGGCACCTGGAGCTGTTCGAGTGGGAGGTTTCGGGATGGGACAGGTGCGGGCTGGTCTCCGCCGCGGGAGCTGAGGCGGGAGCCGAGGCCTGTGTCACGGCGCAGCACGGGCTGCAGCGCCGGAGCGTGCGCTGCCTCCAGAGACTCAACAGGACCGTGGTCGCCAGCGAAATATGTGAGTATTTCACACCGCAGCCGCCGGCCGAGCAAGCCTGCCTGGTGCCCTGCCCGCGGGACTGCGTCGTGTCCGAGTTCTCCGGCTGGTCCGAGTGCGGCACGGACTGCGCCCGGAGTTTGCAGCACCGGACGCGGGCGGTCGTCGCTCCCCCTCTCTACGGCGGTGCCCCGTGCCCCAATCTCACGGAATCCAGAGCCTGTGCAGCTCCCTCCTGTCCCCTCGGGGAGGAGGAGCACACCTACAGCCTCCGCGTGGGCTCGTGGGGCGAATGCCGGCTGCCCCACCCTAAAGACCTCGAGCCGGCCGGGAGGAATATGCGGGATTTGGGTTCGGACTCTGGAGAGCGAAGCACGCCTGGACTTCACGGCTCCAAACGCCACCACCACGCCGGGGAGGTGGAGATCGGCTACCAAACCAGGCAGGTCAGGTGTGTAAGGAGCGATGGAAAACATGCGGCGCTCAGGTAAGGGGGCTTCGGCTTCTGGTTCATCCCCAGAGGATTTGTGGGGCAGAGCACTGGCTCGGCCTGGCAGCGCCACAGAGAATGAGCTTTACGTGGCAGTTTTTACGTGTTTTCTTTATGGACCTCTTCTCGATTTAATTGTCTTCTAGCATGTGCTGAAGGTTTTGCATTCTTCTACGATTTGTGACTGTTTAATCCATTTTATATTTTTAATAATTCTCTTCTGTGGGTTTTTTTTTTTTTTTGGTTGTTTTGTTGTTGTTTTGAGGAAATGGAATTATATATCACTTTGTGCTGTTGCTGGGCCCTGGCTGTGGGAAAGGGAGGTTTCGTTCTCAGTCATGTACTGCATATATTTGGCTGAAGAGGCTAAAATTGCACCTTGTTCTTACAAATCATCACTGCATAAAGTAAGTCTGAAAAGTTTGGCCTTGGGAATTTGCTAGAAGGTGTATTTTGGAAAGAAATCAATGAGCAAACCTGTGGTTATTGTCCTTATTGAGGAGCTTTCCTGTTGGGTGTAACTTTTGGGTGCTGATACAGGGCAGGTGACTGGTATGACTATCTGTGGTAGAGGTTGTTGATTTCTGTCCTTATCTAGTGTTTTATCTAATGATTTCTCTTAGTCTGTGTAGGTTGCTTTGCTGTAAGTCCAATGTGAAGGTTACAGTAAAGTGCAGCAAATAATGGAAAGATTTATTCTCTCCATTTCTCACATTTAAATTTAAGCTATTTGGGCTCTGCCGTTTGACTCCAGGTCGGATTTGGGCAGGTGCCAGTAGCTACAGATGACTGAGAAATTGATTGGCTTCTGAGAAAGTCAGAATTGCTGGAGATCTTCTTGTGTTCTGTTTTTTCAAGAATATTGGAAGTTCTTGAAAAATGCTGCTCCTGAATTTTGCAGAAATCAATCCATAGCTCCTGGCACTTGCACAAACTCAAATGGCAGAGATTTTATGTCCAATTCTCTACCCCTGTTAATGTCCACAGTGGTTTTGCACACACACTGACGTGAAAAACACACATTCCACCCTTTTTCTAACCTGCTCCTATTACACCTGTAGCCAGGGAAGGATTATTTTTTTGTCGGTTGGAAAAAAGTCAGGCTTTGTGAACTGTTCCAGCAGTTTCTAACATCTTGACTTTATTACTCGTCTCTAAATATATGCTGATTCTAAATATACAGATTTTATGCTCGTATAGCTGCTTGACTTTAATGGAGTCACTTGTGATTTATTCTGCTGTGTGACCAGCAGCAGGTTTATGTCTGCTAACACTTGTTAGCTGTTCTGCCTCTTGTATCTCATTCCTTATCAGAGGCTCTGGGAAGGAAATCCTGATTTCACTCGCTCTTCCTTCACACTCTCACTGCTATGTTGGCTGTAAGGATGGGAATGGAAACTTGCTATAAATGTTTTCTCTGCTGTGTTATACATTCAGTTTCTGGATGACAGTGGTGCTGGGAGTTCTGGTTTTAGTGACTCTATCCCTGATGGAGCTGTCTTTTTTCCTTGCTCCTTTCTGGGTTTTTTGCTGATCCAGCCCCGCTTTGGGGAGTGTACAGCTCCATTAGCCACCTTCTGGCAGTCTTTTTCTGATGAGCTTGTGTCTCAGATTTACTGCAGAGCTGAGCCTGACCCATCCCTTACTCCAAATACAAGAGCAAAGCCCATTGATTGAGTAGAGGAGGAAAGGTCATGTCATGTTACATCATCCAGCTAGTCACACACTTTTCCTTTCTTTTTTTGGACCTAAAGTTCAAAGCTAAAAATCCAGCCCAAAATCCAGTTGGTGTTTAATCCCGGGGCTAGAGTGTCACAGACATCAAATGCCTTGACAGTGACTCCCTTTGAGCACCCCTGGTCGTGCTCTCCTCGTTTTGCTGTGCAGCGTATTTGCTGCCATTCTTCTGAGGAACAGGCCTGATCTTACAGATGTTGCTGTACAGCAGCGATGGTATTTTGGCTACTGATAAAGATGAGCAAATGCATTTGCATAACCCTGTAGTGGGGTCTGGCAGAGAGCCAAGTGTCTGCTGTAAAACAGGAAAGAAGTGCCTTGTTTGTGCTTCTGCATTTTCCTGGCCGAGGTTTCCCGTTTCTACTGACGCTGCTAAGTACCAGTGTAAATTAAATGTCTGGAAAACTGAGCAAGAGAACAGGGATATCCCAGGATCTGCTTTAAGGGTGGGCTCTGAGCTGCCGGTCTGCCAGGGCTCTGCCATCACCCTGCCTTCCACCACTGCCCGGTTATCACGGGAAAGTGGCAGGTAACAGGAGTGGTCAGCAAACCACCCCCAGCTGGCCAAGGGCGTCAAAAGGAGAGGGACCATATGCTCATCTTGCCTCCTGATTTATAATGCAGTGGCAAAGATGCCCAGTTTATTATCTAGGTTGTTTAATTTACTGGTGTCTAATTTCAGGGCTGTAGAGCAGCTGGTGAGGCCAGTGAGCAGCAGCAGCAGCAGCTGCTGTGCTCCCTGAGGGGAGAGGATACAGGGTATCCTCGGCATGAAAGAGCAGTCTTCTACCAGAAATTGGACTTTGGTGGCCTTGGGTGCAAGCTGGTTTTTAAAGGCTAAAAGATTGAATGTATTCACTTCTTATAGAGTCACAGAGTGGTTTGGGTTGGAAGGGACGTTGAAACCCATCTTGTTCCAAGCCCCTGCCATGGCCCAGGGCACCTTCCGCTAGACTAGGTTGCTCCAAGCCTTGTCCAACCTGGTCTTGAACACTTCCAGGTATGGGGCATCCACAGCTTCTCTGGGCATCTTGTTCCAGTGCCTCACCACCCTAACAGGGAAGAATTTCTTCCTAATATCTAATCTGAATTTACCCTCTTTCAGTTTGAAGCCATTCCCCCCCTTGTCCCGTCACTCCAGGTCCTTTTCCAAATCCCTCTCCAGCTCTCTTGAGCCCCTTCAGGTACTGGCAGGTGCTCTAAGGTCTCCTTGGAGCCTTCACTTCTCCAGGCTGAACAACTCCAACTCTCAGCCTTTCTCCATGGCAGAGGTGCTCCAGCCCTCTGAGCATCTTCATGGCCCTTCTCTGTACTCACCCCAACAGATCCCTGTCCTTCTTATGTTGGATGCAGTATGGTGGAGTTTCACAGGAGCAGAGTAGAAGGGGAGAGGCCAGTTTACGGGCAGGACATTCATTTTGACCTCTTTTTTAACAAGTTTGTAATTGATGGGAATGGCAGGTGGGAAAGGTGTCCTTCCCTTGTGAAAGAGGCAGCAGCAGGAAATGTGCCCAATACTTGTTTTGAGTTTTTTACTGATATTTAAGTTTGCCATGTAACCCTGCAAAAAGGACCCTTTGGTGCACTCTCAGAAGGAGATGAACAGTCCTTTGCATTATAAGGAAGACTTTAAAAAAAATTTAAATAATTGGTCCTGTGATGATCCCTGTGTCTGCACCAGCCTTAAAGGTGAAAGCAAAAATCCTAGCAATTTTAAATGTAAAAAAACTGTAAATAGGAATTACTTGGAGAGGAGCAAAAGCACTTGGAAGATTGGACATTCTGTGTCACGGAAACAGAGCTGGGGATGCTTTTGATGAAATATCTTTTCAGTCTGGAGGTTCTACATTTGGCAGAATGGAAGGAAAAGGAACAAAGGAGAAGGAAAGGGAGGGACAGACCTTTCTGAAAACACCTCAAGTGACAACAATTGAACAGCAGAACATCAACAGACCTTGAGACAGGTGCACTTCTGCTCAGAAATGGTTTTGGTGTAGAAACCTTATATTCTTGAAAATAAAAGGAATAACATAAAAATAGGATGATTTTATGGATCTGATTTGAAGCTTTTAAAGCCTTTTTTTAAGGACTTCCATGTATAAAAAAAAAAAAAAAACTCTGAAAAAGTTGTAAGGAATGAATGTGCCAGAACTTCTGCTGTTTTTGGCTTCCTGTCTTGTTAGAGATGTAAAAATGTACTGAATAGTGAGGCAAAGGCACTTGAGTTTGCATCTTTTTTCTTAAAAAAAAAAAAAAAAAAAGAAAAGAAAGAGGTTATTCAGGTTAGATACTGAATTGCAGTTTAGTGAAATGAGTTGCCATAGCTCGACAATGAAGTCCTAAATAAATTTAACCTGACTTTCTAACCTGATGTGTGTGCTCACTAAGCATACCCAGAAGGTAAAGTCAGGATTAAACAGTTTTAGGTTTTTTTGTTTTATTATTATTATTTGGATTAGGAGTCTTTTAGGTACATATTTCTTAAACTCTTCATTTTACATTTGAGATGACAACAGTGATATAATAGAGTTGGATTTGGGTTTCTATTTACTTTGCCTTTGTAAGTGAAAATTCAGGTCAAACTCAGTCAAGGGACAACCCATCTGTCAAGGCGGAGGTGGAGCAGCACTCAACTCTTTTGTTTGCCTCTGTAATTTAAATTTCCATTATCCATTTCCTAGTGGATTGTGCTTAACCACTGTGCTGTGATGTACATTTTCAGGAAAAAAATATTTGCAGTCTCAGTGTTGACATTCTGCTGTTCTCTGGGCGAATACGAAATTCTGCAGTCCGGAGCTGGAAATGCTGTGCTGCGATACGCTGTTGGATGGTTATGATTCCGAGCTGGGAGAGGAGTTTTATGTTCACATTCCTCCTGGCAGATGTAGGAATCAAGCCTCAGTGCTCAGGCTTCAAAACAAATCCCAGAGCTGTTGGAGAGGAAGGAGATTTTATTTTCTAGTGTTCTTTTCGAAAGTTTTGCCTGTCGTTTCCTTTGCTTTTATTGAAAGCATGTGGAACAAAGGAACAGTGATGGCTTTTTCATTTCCATAAGTAACGTTTTGGTGGCCAGGCATTGGAATAGGCTGCTCGGGGAAGTGGTTGAATCATCATCCCTGGAAGGGATTGTTCAAAACCCATGTGGGTGTGACACTTGGGGCCATGGTTTAGTGCTGGACCTGGCAGTGGTGGGTTAATGGTTGGACTCGATGAGGCCAATTGGTTGGACTCTTAGAGGCCATTTCCAACCTTAACAACTCTCTGATTCTATGACTGTTGAAGCAGTGTCCAATAATGGCTGTGGTTTTCTCTGTTCTCAAACTGTGATGGGATCCAACTGCCTCTGTAGCCCCAAGATTTCAGAATCTACCTGGGCAGTGCAAATGTAAATCAGAATTTACTTTTAATTAAAGCAGAGGATCTGGTGCATTAAGTTTTGGAGACGCCAAACCTTAGACATCTTTACTGATGTTTTTTTGGATTATGGGACGCCCAACTCCCTTTCCCTTTTGCCAGTTGTATGGCAGGCAAATATTCCCCATCTTCACCACCCTGGTGCAGAAGGGGCTGATGTTTCTTCTGCCAAAGAAACCTCTGCTGCACAGATTGAGTGTATGGTATTGCTAGTACCCAGAATACCCCTGGCAGCTCTGGAGGTCCCTAAAATACATTAGGAATCCTCAAAAGTACGCCTGTTAACATTGATTGCCGATTTCTAAGGGAAAAAAGTTATTTGATGCAGTTAGAAACGTGTCAATATTGTGCCCATTATGAGACCTTAATATTATTAGCCAAGTGCAAAGAGCAGGTGGTGTGTATTCCAGCAGCCTGGAGGGCTGGATTCTTGATTACAGAATAGGAGATGATGATAAAAAAAAGAGAAAAAATGAAAATGGGTTGTTATCAATGTGACTTAGCTCACTCCAGGATTCCCCAGTCAGGCAAGGTACCTCCCAGGAGTCTTCCTGAGGTGCTGGGAGAGAGCCTGGCTGCAGAACGGGTACCCTGCCCTCCTGGTGCTGCCTTTGTACCAGCAGCATGGCCATGGTGACGGCTTCTCAGTGTGTCAAATTATTTTGGAGATATAAAAGGTTTAACAGTAACCACCTGCCTTATCCTGTAATGTAAGGAATTGCATCGGTACGGTTGGGAAAGGGAACCAGGGGTAATTTCTGTGCTGTGCCCAACCTGATTTACTGAGGCATAGCTCCTGGATGGTCTCGCTCCTTTTTCCAGCTGATAGACATGTTGCCACTCGTTTCCTTGCAGTGGATGTGACGGCTCTGTGACTGTAGGGCACGTAGCACAAAGGCGCTGAGCTGCTGGGAAATGCGCTATTTTCTGGTGAGCTACTTTTTGTCCAGAGCAGAAAGGTGGTGTGGTTCAGCTTGGGGCTGCACAATTACTGTGTCTCCTGGGGGTGTGTGACTGGAGATGGAGGAAACGAGCAGAGCTGCTCCATGGGAACAGCCTGGAGGGATGTGGAGCTGCACAGCCAGAGTGGTTGGTACCCAGAGCTGCTTTCCCTCCCCGCCTCTACTCTTCTGTGTGTAGCTCTGGGACTGTGTGAGTGTAAAAGAGGCATGAGCAGGTTTCCCTTGGTCGAGTGTTTTGTGGTTTTTTAATAAGTGGTTTATTCCCCTTCAGTACACAAGAGGCTAAGAGGGCACTCTGCCACTTGAGGCTCGGTGCTGCTGCTGACTAATGGATCCATCCTGCACCGCAGACACCGCGGCACAGGGAAACAATTCCTGTAGAGTTACAGTGTCAATCCGAGTGTGTAACACACGAAAAAGCAGCAGTAGTGTAAGTACCCTATTATATCACAGTTCCCAGATCCACTCCCCAGTAGAAGATGTAACCTGAGATGTTAATACGTAGAAAATTAGTTTGAAAACAGGGCTCTGGTAGTGTCTCCTGTCCCCAGGACCTCCTTCCTCTCTCTGCTGGTTTGGATACAACCACAGCAGCAAAAATACATGTCTGGTTTGCAGCCTCAGATCAGTGAGTGTCTCACATGTCTGGGCTTTATCTGTATTAGATCGTCCTAAATACATCTGCGACATGAAAGGCTGTGTCTGAATTTCATGCAAAAGAGTGTTTTTACATTTGTCTTTGTGTTGCCTGGTGTCACAATTAATTTGACTTGGATGCTCTGAATGAGTAGGTACAAGTTAATTAATTTTCTTTCTGTTAGGCAGTTGCTTGTAATTCTCCCTCGAAAGCCTGCTTGAGCAGGATGGAAATTGCCAGCTCCCTGTCTTATTCACCTGCAGGTCAATAAAGTTACCATCTTATTTTGTAGCAGGAGCGGTGGAGAGATTTTCGGGGACAGAAATTGCTATTCAGCCTTTGGCAAAGGCTTTTGCCAGTGCAGGGGTGATTTCTCTACAGGGATGGCTTTTGCAGCCAGAGTGTCAGCGTAGGTTTGAATCCATCAGGGGAGGTGTTGGAGGAATTATTGTCTGGCTAAGAATTGGGACAGGCAATGCACATTTCAAAGAAGATCCCGAAACCAGATTTTTAAAGGCTTCATTTTGTTCAGTGTTTCAGTGAAGATCAAGCAAGACTTCAATCTCTTTTGCAGAGGTGCAACCCCAGAAATGGATTTGGGTTTTTGCACTGGTATCTGAAGGGGGAGTTTTGATCGCACTTTAAAATGTGAGATCAGTTACCGTCTGTGAGATGTTCTTAGATAAACTTGAGTTTTCTGGTACCATCAGTTAGGACAGTGTTTTGTCTGTGCTATTGTTTTATCTACTCAAAATCAGGAATTCTTTCTTGTTAGTGTTTGTGGCACGGGTGGCTCACCTGTTGAAAAAAAAATTTGAAGGGAAAGAATGTGACATTCATGTGACTGCACCTAACCTGATGTTCCAAAAAAAAAAGACTCAAAATCCCTGGGTTAGTAAGTACATGTATAATGATTATTACTTTTCAGTCCTTGGTTCCACAGAGCTGGTGTTCTGTTCCAGGGACAACTTTGCAATCAGTTGCATTTGACTTGTAATAGGGAGGTGAGACATGTTTTCAAGTTGTAAGCAAGAATATTTTTATTTTGAGGGGTCTACAAACATTACAGGCTGTTTGTACTTTATGAACTTGTTTAAATAAACCTCAGTACATTCATGCTCAGAGCACCTGTGAGATGAATGAGTTTTATTCTGGGTGAACAAATTAAGACAAAAAGTTGTTACGCTTTTTCCTTTTTTTACATTGGAGTACAAATATAAGCCTCTAAATGCCGTATTTTGCAGGTGTTTGAGGGTCTAGTCAAACTTGATGTGTATCAGTGGGAATATTCCTATTGACCTTTGTGAAAAGGGGACCAATTTGTAGGCTGGAGAAGCGAGTGAATGTCCTTTATCTTCCCTGCTCCCGCTGGTGAGGCTGCCTGGCAATCCTGAAATGATTGCCCCAGTCTATTTTCCTTGGAAGGAGTTAGGTTGGTCAAACTGTGCTGTAAGTAGTAACAAGGGAGGTAATGGCTGGTTCCCTGGCAGCAGCTCTGGATTTCACACCTCTTAAGTGTACCTGTGTTTGCTCCTTACAGATGGCAAAAGCTTGACCACAAGCAACTGGAGGCTGGAGAAGACAGATTTAGAGTTCGCAGTGACTTCATCATGTGTGGTCTTAATTTCAGAGGCCAGTTTGCATGATCTATGCAGAAGTCAGGAAATCTTGTTTTCTCCTGATGATTTCTTTTTTCTGGATTTTGTCTCTGTCTGCCCCATCCTGTCCTTCCTGATGCTTCAGTGGTATCGCTGCTCAAACATCCCTCATCCTCCTTCGGTACATCCTTTTGTGCTCTGCTACCCCAGCTATCCAAGGCTTTTTGAGACAAGAAAGGCTTTTCTCCCATTTTGGGGGAGGTGACCCTCTAGAGTTGTGGAATGGTTTGGGTTGGATGAGATCTTAAAGATCATCTTGTTCCAACCCCTCTGCCATGGGCAGGGACTTCTTCCACTAGACCATCCAAAGCTCAAAGCCCCATCCAAACTGACCTTGAGCACTTCCAGGGGTGGGGCAGCCAGGATGAGGTCCCCCCACAACAGAAACAGAGGAGCAAGGAAGGATGGTGTCCTTAGTCTGCAGGGTTGTCTTCTCCCGAAAGTATTTGCTGCATTTGCCATATTTTTCCATATTGTGAAAATTTATTGTAACCTTGGAACCCTTAAAAATGTTGTTTTGAGACTTCGTATCTCGATACCAAATCTCAGCAGTTGGCAGCTCTTAGAATTTGGTTTCCTGTTGTGTTGGGCCTTGTGTGGTGTCCCGGTGTGATGCAGAATGAATGAGATCATGTCCTGATGTCAGCAGGAGTAATTGAGTCCCAAAACATAGCCCCAGTTGCAGCATTCCTGGGTCTCTGGTGGTTTGTCAGGCGAAAACCCTCTAACCTTGTTTGACAGCATGTGTTTGATAAGAGCCTCACAGAACTGGCACTGTTCTTATTAGTGTGGGACTAATTATTTTTTAAAAGAGCAGAGTTTCTCAGCAGGACGTGCTGACTCCTGGTTGGATGGGAGGGATAGTGAACATCTCATCCTATCTATGGGGTGTGGGAATGGTTACCAGTGGCATTATTTCTCTTGAGCTTGGATTTTGTTTTCCATTCTGGATAAATTGTGAAATTTTGACTACACAGGAGCAAATGTAATGCCTTTCTCATCTGTTTAACTCAAAATAAATGAGATATATTATTTAAAAACTACTCGTCCTGAAAGGTCACACCCAGAGCTTGTTGGAAACGTTACATGCACTGCACTGGAGCTCCTCTGACTTTCACTGTATTCCTGTTGGTGCAGGTCTTCTGATTTGCCCAGAATGACCATGGATTTCTTCTTCGGGGGTTTGGCTTGAAAAAGAAGAAAGGCATTTTGTAAGCAAGACCTTCTCAGCTGTTGTTACTATGTTCTTGTCGCAGCCTCTGCCTGCAAGATCCCGTCCCTGTAACCGCCAGGTCCTGTGTCGTCCCTAAAGACTGCGAGACATCCGAGTGGTCCCCGTGGAGCTCCTGCTCCCGGACCTGCAGCTGGGGAGATCCCAGCCCAGGATTCCGGAGCCGGCGCCGTGGCGTGCGGAGCGTGGCCGTGGGCGCCGGGAAGCCGTGCCCGGAGCTGGAAGAGAGGGAAGCCTGCAGCGTGGGAGGGAAGGAGCTGCTGCAGCCCTGCCCCAGGTAGGCTGAGAGCTTTTAGCCCAGTTTCTGGAAGTAAGGAAGCCCCTGTTTGGTGACTTGCCTTGAGCAGAGCAGATCCTCGTTGCTGGGTTTGTGCACGGAGAGGGTTGTGCGTTGTGCTTCTGAGAGATCATTGATTTGATCATTGTTAACTGTGATTAGTGGTGTTATTTATTGTGGGTGATGTTCTTGTAATTGTTGCTATTGTCGTTATTGCTATTACAATAATTACAGTTATATATAGAAATGAATTTAAATTACACCCACTACAGTTTATATTTTCATATTTTATAAACTGGGAGCAGACACTCTTGTTCTCTGAAGGGGCTTTGGTACTGATTGCTGTTTCAGAGAATTTCCTCAGCTGCACAGAGATTGGGCAGGTCTTTATGACTGTGCTCTTAATGGCTTTGAAATTGTAATTTTTATGTAAGATTTAATGATTCCTCTTCATCTCCCCTTAAAAAAAATCCCAGTCCTGCTTGAGGAAAATGGGAACTGATCAGAGGTAATAGTTTGGACTTTACTCAGCTTCCCTCTGGATACTTCCTGAAATGGGAAACTTTGCAGTCCCTGAGAGCTGTTTTGGTTTGTGGCAATCTTTGTTCTGGCAGAAGGAGAGGATCTCCCCTTTCGGGTCTGCAAACCCCACACCGCCGTGCTTGGCCAGGCTGGTATGGGAGGTTGATAGCGTGCTTTGCAAAGAAAATAAAACGTTGCTTGATTTTTTTGTGTGTGTGACGTGTTTTCAGATTGATTGCAAAATGCTTTAGAATTGATAAAATTTTTTATGCATTCAGACAAATCTCCCTGTCTGTGCATGAGTGTGTTTAATAGGAGATCTGTTCAGTGCCCAAGTCATGAGTTTCTGGGGCTTTGCCAGACACTACCAAAACCTTCGATAAAGCCTTTGCAAGATACATTTCTTAGGAAGGCATCACCTGTAAAAGTGTCTCTGTATCACTGTGCTCATTCAAAATCAAATGCTGATCGTTTTTATGCACCCTGCCAGCAGAAGAGAGGAAGTACGAAAAAAAAAAAATATTCTGTTGCTTGATTACATCCTCCGAAAAAAGGCTCTCAGAGAGTGATTTTTGCTCCTGTCCCAGCTCACATCTATTTCAAAGACAATAGATTAGCACATTGTCTTGCTGATTTTGTGCAGGAGGGTGGGTGCAGTGACACCTGATTGGGGCAGACTGACTGGGACTTAATCAGGGAGTGAACAGACGTGGGGCTCTGCCCACTTTCTCACCTCTACTTTTTGACATTGCACTTTATTGAAGGGCAAACGGTTGTGGAGAGCCAGGAGAGCCCAAAAGGTGAGAACCTGCCTAACACTGATAAATTTTTGGAGGTTCCACTCTTTCTGTAGAAGCAAACCTGTTGTTGTGTCAGTGGGTTGCTGCCGTGCCCAGGTTTTCGTGACTCTGTGAACTCTCAAACCTTCCCCGTCCTTCCGTGCCCCCACACCTCGAGGCAACACCTCCAGGGCAGTATCTGCAAGAGCAGAAATAACCTGCCTGATGTGCCAGCTCAGAAAAATAACATTAAACTTGCAGGTTAATAGAGCCACTTAGCTAAAAATATTAAAAAACACAACTCTGGTATTTAGTTAATTGGTATTTCTAGGGATGTAATATCTCAAAATGCAGGTGGTAGGCTATGACCTTCTCATACTGTGCAGTGTTGAGGAGAATTTTGCAGTAGTGCCTGGCTAGTAGACTCTGGTTTTTCCATTCAGTATTTACAGAAACAAGCAAGACTGAAAATCTGTAATACTGCAGTATGTGCTGTGGGGACCAGAATTTTGTTTTAATGATCAGAAACCCAACATGTAGTTGTTATTTAGATGTCAGCAGCTGGTCAAGGATACTGTTGGTCCGTATTACAGTTTACAGCCTGGTGATCTGGTGTTGCTCTTTGGGAACTGGTGACTGAGCTACTGGAAACAGCTCAGATTGGAAAGCAGTGGCTTTCAGCCACAGAGGGATGAAGTGTTAATCCCTATGAAATAATATAAGAAGCCTTTGATGCTCCTATTCTCCTTATTTGAGCATTTTCTCTTTGCAGTGTAATACCTAGAAAGATTATGCTTTTTTCCCCCTTTAAATATATGACACTTCATTTGTGGCTTTGCTGGGACTTACCAAACAGTTATCTTTTCTTTCTTCCCTATACAAGAAGATGAAGAATTTAAGGAGATTCTGCAGCAGAAATAAAAGGCACTTTCCTTCATTTGTCTGGTCTCAACACAAGCCATTCCTTATTTCTTTCTTGTGTTTGACTAATCAGATTAGTCTTGAAATTTCTCAGGTGAGACTTGTCTTTACTTTTCCAGATCATGGAAATACACTCTAGGCTCATTTCTGGTTTGTTTTGAGACAAGCAGCCTTTCCTTTAGCTTTATTCTTTGGGCAAGAATTTTCAAATGCCTGTGCTGCAGGCACAGCAAAGAAAATGGGTAATGACATAGACCAGAAACAGGACGAGTCTCTGAGCAGGAGAAGGAAGGGGATTAGGAATAAATTCTTATTATATTAGGGAGAATATCAGGAAGAAATTCTTGCCTGTGTGGGTGTGGTGAGGCCCTGGCACAGGTTGGCCAGAGAAGCTGTGGCTGCCCCATCCCTGGAGGTGTTTAAGGCCAGGTTGGACGGTGCTTTTAGCAGCCTGGTGTCATGGAAGGTGTCCCTGCCGTGGCAGAGAGGTTGGAACTGGGTGATCCATAAGATCCCTTCCAACCCAACCCACTCGATGATCTCACGGTTCTCTAGAGGCTGTTTTTTAATGCAGGGGCAGAGAGCACCCCATGAGTGAATGAAGGTGCATTTTGTGGGCTACGGATAACGAGGTAGCACTTGCAGAGTTGTACTCATCAGAGAGAGATGGGTGAAATGATATTCCAGCTCCTAAAAGGATCCAGAGAGGAAAAAAAATACCTTAAGCCTCAGAGCTGCTCTGTTAAATATTACCTCTGTGTCCATGGCAAGGCTTCAAGTTGAAGGTCCCATCACAGGTGGGTGGCAAAGCTGTAAATTTGCTGTTAGATGGGAAGGGCTTTTAATTTTATGAGTGAGGTGTACAAAGGCTACTGTAATCAATAGTTTAAATGCAAGAAAATAAAACACGTTAACTGCATGTAAGACTCCAGAGCTTTGTGCTTTGTTTTACTTCTGGTTATTTGCTCTGAAAGGATTAAGTGCTTAAAAAGCTTAAACACATAGGAGGTGATTCTATTTTCTTTTATTGTGGTATAAATTTGGGATACTTCAATTAAAGTGAATGGGTATATACAGGTATAAAACTTGAGTAAACACTAAGAGCATAAGTCCCATAGACTAAAGACACCAGGAGGTTACTATAAATTGTGAAGATATTGAGCACTTGTTTGTTGCATAACTGTCACTGAGTCATGAGTTTTAGAACAATGTTTTATATCTTTTTTTATCCTTGATGTGTAGCTTTCATGTTCGCTGGGAATAGATAGATTTTCCAGAATTATGATTATGTCTTTATATCGCTCATTTTGCCTGTGGTTGCTATGTTACAAGGCAGGGATTTAGGAAAAAAAACCAAAACCTTCTCTCCGCTTTGTTGGAAATTCAAAGCTTTTCAAAAGTTAAATGATGGAAAATGGGAAAGTTTTAAGACCCAATTTTTTAAAAAAAGGACTTGAGGTTATTGCTGAGATACAGGTGTGATAGTAAATGACACTCATTATGCCCAAATTAAAGATGAGACATTAGTGTGAAGTAGGAAAGACTGGAGTGGCAATGCAGTGAATAGAGCTACTAGGCTCTGGAGTTACACTTGGGGAGTGGTAGCGACACTGCTCTTCACCCCTTTGACCATCAGTGGTCTTGGGCAGACAGCAGTGACTTCCAGCTTTGTTGCCTCCCCTTGGATCAGGAATGATCCCTGGTGAAGCTTTGGTTACCCATCTGCATGCTGGATGATTGCTCCTGCAGCTGCAGTTGGGTGTTGCGCTGCAAGAACACACTTTTGCCGTGATTGGAACAGAAACATGCAGGACCTCTCTTCTGCTTCTACCAGCTCTTTAGCAGGGAAATTCTGAGCACTGCTTATGATGTGAAAAGCTGTTCAGCTTTATTGGCTGATTTCCCTCCGGGAAAGCACGAACTTCATTGTTCCTAAACCAGCATTTTTCAGTTTGCCAGTTTTCTTAAGCACAGTGATACAGCTGTCTGTGGATTCCCCATTTGGGATGTTACCTTGCTAGTCCTCTAACCATCATCAGTGGGGTCTGTCTGTCTTTGAAGCACCTGGACTTCCTGTACCTCAGTATTGTCAAAAACTGGGACAAGCCTGTTGGGAAGCCAAAGGGAAGGGATGAGATATTTTAGCTATAGTCAGAGGTCTGTGGATAAATGGGTCACAGCTAGGACTGCAACTATACCGAGTTTGCATCAGTTTCACAAGAGACTGGTAGGAGTTAAAATGAGATGTTAAATCCGTTGACGTCTGAAATTGTTGTCAGTGACAGGTTTTGGAGTAAAGATCACAAGAGCACACTGGAGCTGACTAGCTTTGGCCCCAGTGTGTAATGTTCCTTCCACTTCCTGAGTTACCATAACCTTTACCCTCTGGGGATGGAGTGTCTGGATGGATTGGCCCCCGAGTTTAACATGGGTACAGCACGTTTTTGTCATGGTTTGTTGGTGGCTTTGGTCATCTGCAGTCAGCTGGAGGAATTACAGTCATGTGGTAAACTCACTGTGGATATTGCTAATAATTTGCAAGAGTTTTCCAAAGTCACAAACCCCCCCAAGTATTTTCCAGCCAGTAGTTTAATTTTTTTTTGCTATTAATAAGTTATAAATAAACCTCTGTTTAAATATAAATGGAGATTATGCAGCCAATTTTTCTTTGTTAAGTAATGTTAATTCTCATTGTCTTTAGTGTAGTCCATAGATGGGCAAATTAATACCAAGTATTGGCCACGCTCCTTAAAACCCTGCAAAGAGTCTGCCCCACAGCTGCCCCCAAGGTCCCCCTGTCCATCGGGAGTGGTCTGACATGGGGTTTTCTACTCAGTGGGACAGCAATCCCTTGGATACATTGCTGGGGTAGTGGGCTTCTTAATGGCAGTGAAAATGTTTGTAAAAATATTTTAATTCTTAGAGATGAGGATTTGGTACTGGAAAATTCCATGCAGCTGAGGGCATGTCCAGCTGGGAAAAAGCAGGTTGGGCTGATGGGGCTGAGGCTTGGAGCTGGTGACAGCAGCACAGGCACCGGCCGGGCTCTGGTGGCTGTTCCTCATGGGCTGCTCAGCAGTGGAACACACTATCCACTTACTCTGGGAGAATATCTAAAGAGATTTTTTTTTTTTTTTTTAAGATTCAGGAACTGATGAAGTTTAATTATCTCAGAGCTCAGATTTAGTTATTTTGCATAATTTTAATCACTGATGGCCTAATTTTCAGAGGTGTTAACTCCCACGGCTCACGCTGAATTGGAGGAGCAGATGCTCACACCTCTGGAAATGAGTCTTTGGGATCCAGAGTTCACAGCTGACTCCCTAAGCCAGATATTGACAATGAGTTTTTCTTTAGTCAGGGTTTGTTTGTTGTTTGTTTTTTTTTTTTTCAATAAATACTTCCTTAAAAGAGCTATTTCCATGGCTGTGGAAAGATGTGTGTGTTCTCTGTTTAAGCTTTTAGTTTTGAAAGTGTGGACCTGAAAAGCACAATGCCCCGAAGTGCTGTGGAGGAGGAATCCTCTTCACCCAGAGTTTGATGAAGACCACCTTTCATTGCCCATATAGTAAGGGGAAGGTTGCATTTAACACTGCAGGCCCAAGGAATGGGATTGGGAACTACTGGAAGAAAAAATTCATGGCTATGATTTATATGTTATTGGAGTTGAAGTATTTGATACTTGTCATGTGAAAAGTGTGTTCTTCATTGTTTTCTCTGTTGGTAATAAACCCTGTGAGAGTATCCAGATTTGCACCTGGTGCTGTGTGTTCAGAGATCATGACAGCTCATCCAAACAGTAACTGTAAATGAAAAGTAATTGGCAGTATTCACAAATGTTTTCCATTAGTATGTTACAAAATTCAGAAGTGCTTTGTGGCTAGAAATCATTTTATATCCGTGCTTACAATGTAAGAAGTTGAAGAGAACATTGATGTGCGCTCAGACATGTATTTATTTTTCATATAATTTTGTGATGGGTGTTTCCTTGCCATAGCTGTAATCAGGAACATGTACTTGTCATGGAGAATACAGGGAATTAAGATGTGAAGGCTGTTTCTGCAGAGACACCCCACAGTGTTTGAGTTTCCAGAGATCAGTCAGCAGTCAACAAACACACGTAATTTTAACAACTGTGGATCTGCTGTAAGAAGAGAGAGCATTTGTCTGGAGGATTAAATAAGGAAATTATTTTGCATAGTTTACATTACACAAACCCCAAAGATTGTATGGAAGAAAGGGAACTATGAAATTTGGAGGAGTGGAGGAATAAAGCAGCAGAAGTGTGAACAGATTGTTGTAAAAACAATATTGCCTAAGATTTGCATTCAGGAAGCTCTGAAAGACTTCGAGCTCCTGTTTACTCCCCTCATACTGTGACCTGTGAGTCAAAACGAATTATGCCTGTGAAAACTATTGTCTTAGAAATATGCTCTGCATTTTCAGACATGATGGGGATATAACTCTCGCTTTTCATGGATACGCAACACTGTTTTCCCTATGGTTTTAATAAGTTCTTCCTGGTATTTAAGCTGGTATGACTGTTGTCTGCACAGCATTCACCTGTCTGTGCCCCAAAACGTTGTCCCTTCTTGAGAACCCTTAATGCTCTTTAGTTGTGAATGGAATGCAGAGTGAAAGTATTTTTTATCTAGAGCTTGCTGGGTATCACAGCTTCTGGGAACTGGAATTATCTGAGTTACTTTGGCCAAACCCTTGAAGGAATTGTCCCCTGTAGAAAATCCCCCTGTGCTTGGAGCTCCGTTGACATATGCAGGATTTCAGCTGTTAAGTGCATTTCAGCATTTCAGCTCTTGGCAGAGAGGGGTGGTTTAGTGGTTGGAGCCACATGTTTGAAAATTCGTTTTCACACTTAATCAAACCTCTTAATCTTCACTCCTTTTTTTGCACCCCGCTCAAAGGTGTTGTCAGGATGATTTAGTGTTTCAGAACGCTTCAGAGATCAGTGCTCTGGGACAAGTCAGGCGCTCCAGACAAATAGCAAATATTTAACCCATGTAAATTTAACACTCAAAATATTTCAAAATGCTCCTTGGTTTGGATAGGGAGGTGCTGCTATAAAAATTAAAGCAATTGTATTTTGTCATCCAATAAAGTACCTCTCCCTTACCCATAGTCTTTTGAAAACGCATTTTACCTGTTCTGTTTTATTTCCAAAGGTTTGCCTGGAGAACTTCTGAATGGAAAGCTTGCCAGGTGTCTGTCCTCCTTGGCCAGCAAGACCCTCACCACCACAGGCAGGCAGGGCTTTGTGGAGGTGGCCTGCAAACCCGGATGGTCTACTGTGTCCAGATCACCACGGAGCCCGGGATGCACCGGCTGAAGGAAGGTACGTGAGTGGGGCCACTCTCAAGTGCTGGCCTAACGAGGTCTGAGTAAGGAAACAGGGGAAGAAAATAAGGAGATAACATCTGGCCATTGGTAGCCTTTGACTAACTGATGCCCTCCAGGTATCCATGCTCTCACAGGGAGATGTTGCTTGGCATCAGAGGGCGGAAGTGTCGTGTGGAAGTGCCAGGAGCCACACCCTTGAATTGCTGCCACTGCTGCTGTTCAGTTGCACTGGGAGGGTTGCAAAGGATGAAGGAACTAAATTTTGCTTGGAGTTGACTTTTCTTCCTCTCTCATATATCAGGTAGCCCAGCCCCTCAGTAGCTGAATGCATTTATCTGTAGTGTAGTCCTGGTTTAGGGTATAAAAAAAGATGTCACACTCCATTCAGGATACGGCTTTAGCCTCTGCTTCAGACTGATACACAATCTTTCTTGTGATTTGAAGGGGAAAGCAAAAGTAATATTGTCACAACTTCTGAGCAGACAGAAGGTTTTTGGACTCAGGAAGTGAGTTATATTTCTTTTAGAAGAATAATAAGTAGTTACAGATTCACAATGAATAATTCATCAATAGGCTGTTTTATTTACTCGATGTAGTGCTCTTGCAGAATGTGTTTTTGAGCAGAGATGTAAGATAATAACAACACAATAGGATATCTTAGATTTATTTGCCTACAGAGGCAAAGCAAATGTTTCCTGGATGCCCAGTGTGTGTCCCAGCATCCTGCACAGACTCTGAGATTATTCATAGTGTCTGCTCCACCTCTCCCAAACAGCTGGCACTATTTTGCTCTCCCAACACAACACCCCTCTGTTCTGCACGAGTGTGTGGTGCACAGGGCTTTGAAAGCTAGAAAAGTGCTGTTGATGAGAGGTGTGGGACATTTATGAACTGTCTTCATCCTTCTGACCACTTCTGTGGCCCGTGTGGCCACTTTGTGTTGGGCTGGTGAGCAACAAGTTTGAACCAGTTTCATTCATACTTCATCAGTGTTGTGAATTACTCCAGAGGATTAGAGGAGTGCACCTAAATTCCTTACACCAACACATTTTGGGACAGAAATGAGTGCCCTATGTCCACTGTGTGATCACCTGCAGGTTTTCCTCTTGTTCAAAGTTCAGTTCAGCTTAAAAGTCACAAAAAAAGCACCCCAGACTCAGTGGGATTCCTCTTCCTTATATTTACAGTTATAACTTTTTTTTTTTTTTAAATTTCATATAGGCAACTGAAAAAAATTGAATCTGCAGAGCAATTGTACAAGGTATAAATTATTACTGTAGTTTCAAAGCAGTAGTGGAGATGTACAGGAGTCCTTGGCAAGTGAGAATCCCATCTACTGGCAGCACAGTCACATGCAAACAGAAGGAAGGAAAGCCTTCCCTATTATCCCTCCCCAACCAGTAATATTCAGTGTGTCTCATTTACTAGCTGATCAATTTTAGTTTTTTGAATAAATAAGGAATGACATATTTTTGGGCTCCTTTCTTCCGGCAGTCTGAACTGACAGAACACTTTTATTCGTCACTAGGGCATCCCATATTTTATTGTACCAATTTTTCAGTGATGAGGAGAAGATGAGGATGTTAATCCTCTACCTATAAGCAAATATAGAGTCTAATTGCTACCATCAAAAGTACAGTAATTTTTCTTTCTTCACCTCTTGAGTGTCCTTAGAGGGATCATTGAGGAATCAAACAAGCGAGTCTAATAGGATATTACCATCCATCACAGTTGTTATTCTTCTGGTTACTTCCAATGAGAATTTGGACCGAGGCCCAATGACATATGTGAAAGAAGATTTTGTCCTGTGGTCTCTCCAGCAGCATTCTTGGATAAAATATGTAGAATCCTAGTTGGAGACAGGTACCATCTGTGATGTATTTATACATACTGCTCAAAGCTCTTTTATCCCCCAAGGATATCTCTCCCGTTTTTCATTTGCTTATTCCTCCCATCTATTTCTTCCTTTGTTAAAATGTGTGTGTTTGGAAAATGAGCACCTGTTTTCTCGAGTCCCTCTATATCAGTTATTCAGAAGGTTAAGTCTACAGGAATCTTCCTATTTTTTGATTATAAAATTCCAGCTTGAAGATGCTGGAAATGGAAAACTCTCACTCGGGTGTTACTTTGAGAAATGCACTGATAAGATTTCACATCTTTCTCCCCCAAGAGGTGACCTAACTAAGAAATCCCTGTCTTGATCCAAGTGAAGTTACATATTTTTTTGGCCTTAAGGAGGAAGTCCATACTTTTAACATGGGTGAGGAGTATTTGGAGGCAGAAGATCTTCCAGTCTTTGGAGTCCTTGTTAATAGTCTTGCATGCTGAGATTGTTCCATCTCCATGAAACTGTTGGTAAACAGGTAAAAGGAACTCCACATCTCTACTCGCTGTGAGGCTTTTGTTAATTTAGACTGAACTTTAACGTGATTAGCTTTAAACAGATCCTTGTGTTTTCTTCAAGTATCTCTTTGAATTTTAACATGTTTAAATTTATAATGCTCAATTTTCACAAGAGAGGTCGTCATCTGATACTTCAGGTTTATCGTTACTCTTTTGATATCCAGAGATGGAAGTAGCAAATCTGCATGTTGGAAATGATGTTGCTTTTAAGGAGGAGACAAAATTTGCTCAAAAAGTAAAGTAGAATGTGGAAATGAGGTATGTACAGTACAGCTCCAGTCTGTCCTTTCTGCCCTTTGGCTCTGGGTACTCCCTAATCCCTGTGCCTGGACATCCTGTGTCTGGACCAAACTGTGGGCATGCTGGTGGTTACCCTTCTTTGTGCTTCTTCACTCATGTGGAAGCTCTTTTAAATAAAGTAGAAAGGCAGACCCTCAATTTATCTTCAAAGCAAGACTCTGCTACCATGGGACTCTCGTGTTTTCTTCTCTTTTGCAAGTGGGCTTACTAAAAGAGATGGGATTTTTGTGACTGTTGATTTTATAGAATTTTACCTGAAATGTGTTTCCCCACAATAAATTTTAATTGATTTGGGTGAACTATCTAGCGATGCCCGAGGTACCAACAAAAAAGACATTTGGTAAAAGTAGGGAAGAATATTGTGCAATGATCAATTCATGAAACCTCTCCTAGTTTGGCAATGCAACTCTCCTCTCATTCACAATGAATGATTCCAATAATATGGGAATTAAAATTGCTCTTAGAGTCTGGGAGTGGTGTCTGTGTTTATGTTCAAACAGTTAATTAATGTATGTGGTTCCTTGATTTAATTTTCTTCACCAGGAATTCTTTACCTTCTCTTCTGAAGACCAAGTAGTATCCTTTTGTTTTCTAATTAAATTTTGCTTTTTGGATTTATCTAGAAACTGTAACTCTGTATCAGTGGTCTGGTAGATGGCAGCCTTTATAAAATCCACCAGAAGCATTTCCTCTCTTCTCTGAACTAGTTCCCTGCTGTCCCTAGTGACTGGGATTGCTGTTCTCTCCATATTTTCTGTAGCTTTCTAACTAGGGTTCTGTCTGCCCTGTCATTCTTTCATAAAATTTGTGCCTTATATATCCTGACATTTTTTCTTTCTTACTTGTTTGAATGAGATCCAATCTACCTCTCACTTGCAGAATTTTCTTATAATGTTTTTTGCAGCCTGTCTGCTTAAGTTTTAATTATAGGACTGAAAAGACTTTTGTGAAATGCTGTTCTCCCTTGAATCCTCTTTGTTGTTTATCCAGCATACTAAACTTGGCTAATAAAATGTATCTCTTATTACCATCTCACCAGCAAATCATTGTGCATTCCTATCTTTTTAATCTTTGTTATTTTCCATCTGAAAATCCACATAAAATTCTTATACCTGGACAAGGTTCCATAGTCTTGTTTACAGGTTTTTTTGCTTAATGACCGTCTCTATCATATTTGTCTCCTTATATTCATTTTTATTTGATCTTGAATTTCAGTAGCAGGTGTGTGAGATAGTTATGCCTTCATTATTTTTGAATACCTTTTAGTGTTACCCTGCAAAGCTGTTTCTTACAGAAGTTACTTTTATATCCCTCTTTCCTTCGAGGGAGATTCAGCCCTCCACTCTTAGTAGACAAAATATCTTGACTGACTTACTCCACTGTCATTCCCCAGCCCATACTAATTTTTGGTTTGTTTTTAGGATGCAATTCCACCTGGTTCATCTTACATCAGCTTTTTTTTACGAATTTGTGTGTCGCCAGCTGTAGCAGCAAAACCTCCTTTAGTCTGTTTAGAGTTAAGGACTTGGAAAATACTCAAGTACCTTTTCAGGTTTGATGGGTACTTTGTGATCCATCCCCCTGTGTATTCCCTTATGTGGTTTTGTCTTACAAGCCACTTTATTGACAGAATCACAAAATGCTCTGAAACTGAAACTGTTCCCCTGCACTTTCATCTGACTCCAACTTATACGACTCTCAAAATGATGATTTTATGGCCTTTATACTTTCTTGTTTTCCTCAAAATATTGAGCTTTCTCCCTACTGTTGATAGACAAAAATATCAATTCCTTTCTTATCTGATGGGTGAACTTGTCAGACTATTCTTGATTCCCATATGGGAGATGTTTTGGCACTGTGTTTTATTTTCCAGAAAATGGTGCCTCTTTGGAGTTTGCACAGAGATTAATTTGAGAACTCCCTTCATTCATATCTTGTATTATTCACTATTTATCCTCATTCTTTTCTTTCAGCCCTTTTGTCTTTTTTAGCTCTAAAGTATTCTGATTTTCCTTCTTTGCTCTGTACACTCTGTTTCCTAATGAAGGTGCCACATTTTTTTCCCCTGCAAGTTCTTTGTTCTCCTCTCAATCATGATCTTCCAGTGCCTGTCTTCTGGGGGATTAGTGTTTCAGTCTAGTACATGTGGCATCTGTTCAGTAAACTATGGAAGCAGTTTTGGGAAGAGAAAAATACCAGCGGAGAATCCGATTTGAATGTGCCCCCATCCCCTTGGGTGCCAGGTGTGTTGTGAACCACCAGCTCCGACTCTTTAGAACCTGGAAGTTGGTT